CCAGGCGCTGGGGCTCCTCCTGCCACCACATCTCCCCCCCGACCCCGTTTCTTGCCCTGGCAGGTGAACCCCCAGTACGAGGGCACCTTCATCTTCCCAAATGACTTCCCTGCGCTGCAGCCTGATGCTCCTGAGCCTGGTAACTTGTGGGGCCTCTCCCTCCCCACCTTCTGTCCTTCACCAGGTGACAGTGATCACCCACTGTTTCGAGCAGCAGCAGCCCGAGGTGTGTGGTGAGTACCCCAATGGCTCCGGGTGGGTCTGGGCTGTGATGTCAGGCATGGCCTGTGGAAGGGAGCTGGACTGAGACCACCCCCCTCCTTATACTGTCTGTTTTATGTATGTCTGCTCTGTTTTGGGGGCATTTTGTGGGTCTCATCCCTGTCCCCTGTTCCACTGTGACCTTGCAGGGCAATGGGAGTCCCCAGGGACACCCTGCAGCCCCAGTCACATGTGTCTCCTCCACAGCAAGGTGATGTGCTTCCCCCCCTGGTCTGACCTGACACTGCCCCTCATGTCCCTGGCAGAGATCCGGGCCGTCATCGATGCATGGGCAGAGCTGGCTGCCGAGCTGGGTGCCTCCTACCCCTGGGTGCAGGTCCGGGACTGCTGGGGGCTGCCCTTCTCTCCCTGTCCAGGGGGCTTGGGTGGAGGTGGGGGGCTGTGGCTGGGTGCTCTGGCACCACCCGGGGTTGTGACCCTCCTGACTGCATGTGGGACCCCCATCCCCACCTCATGCCCCCCTGAGCCTTTCCAGGTGGGTGCAAGGCTCTGCTTTCCTGGCATGCTGGGGACAGCATGGCAGCCCGCAGAGGGGACCCTGGGAGTGGGACCCGCTGGCTGCACCTCTTCCTCGAGAACAAGGGAGCGATGATGGGCTGCTCCAACCCGCACCCTCACTGCCAGGTGAGGCTGCCCTACCCCTGACCTGGCTTAACCGCGAGTCCCTGTGGGCAACCCTACAACAACAAACCCAGGCGGAGGATGCAAACAGAAATCACCCCGCCCTGGTCCCAGAGCTTTTTGCCGAGAGGATGAGGATGCCTTCATGCCTGTCCTGTCACCTCCCTTCTGGGGGACTGTCCCTGGCACATATCGGACTCTCCACCTGGTGGCAGCACAGACCTGCAGATGGGCAGCGTGGCAGGGGCACCCTTGCAAATGCTGGGTACAGATAACCCAGCCCCATGCCCCAATGTTCCTCCCAGGTGTGGGCCAGCAGTTTCCTCCCGAACGAGGCGCGCCTAGAGGACCGGACCCAGCGGCAGCACCTGAGCCAGCGCGGTGTGCCCATGCTGCTGGAGTACGCTGAGCAGGAGGCTCACCGGAAGGTGAGGACATGGCGTTGTCCCCTCCCTGGGAGCTGAATGTGCGCTGGGGTGAGCCCCCCAGTCGCCAGAGCAGGGCCTCTGGGAGTGCCCATCCCTAGGGTATCAGGGCTGCACATGTCCCCATCGAGCACTGTGTCCCGCAGGAGCGACTGGTGGTGGAAAATGCGGACTGGTTGGTTGTGGTGCCATACTGGGCTACCTGGCCCTACCAGACCCTACTGCTGCCCCGTCGCCATGTCTGCCACCTCCAGGACCTCAAGGAGGGCGAAAGGGACAGTGAGTGGCTCTGCACCTCGTTAGCCCTGTCCCATGTCCTTTGGGAGGAGGCAGCTCTGTGGCAGCCTTGCTGGTGCTGGAGGGTCTGTGTCCCCTTGTGGTGTGGGGCTGCTGGGCTTGGCTTGGGGGAGGTCTGGCACCCCCATTTTGCCAGGACAAGAGCTGGGTGTCCAGGCGCAGGCAGTACTGGTGGGGGAACTAGTGTCCTTTTTGGGTTGATGAAGCACATGGTACCCCATACTTTTGGGGTGCCGGCTGATGAGGAATGGGAGTTCCTCCTACCATGTTGCTCGGGCTGTCTCCATCAGTGGGGAGGGGTGGAAATGCCAAGGGCATTCGTCCTGCCTGTCACCGATGTCCCCTAAGGGAGGGGTGCTGAGGGTGAGCCCCCCAGGCCCGATGTGATGCCTGCTGTTGGAGGGGGCTGGCCAGCTTGGAGTACAACTCCCTGGCACTCCCCTGCAGGCCTGGCCTCCATCATGCAGAGGCTGCTCATCAAGTATGACAACCTCTTTGAAGTCTCCTTCCCCTACTCCATGGGCTGGCATGGTGAGTGGCATGGCTGTGGCGCCCCTGCAGCCTCTCCCCCTCATCCCTGTCCCCTCCCTGGGGCTCACGCAGTGGCTGCACCCCTGCAGGAGCCCCCACAGGCCCCTACCTGGAGGAGGACTGTGGGCACTGGCAGCTCCATGCCCACTACTACCCCCCGCTGCTCCGCTCCGCCACCGTCCGCAAGTTCATGGTGGGCTACGAGATGCTGGCGCAGGCACAGCGGGACCTCACCCCGGAGCAGGTGAGTGCAGCTTCCCCAGGAGTTTTGGGGAGCTAGGGGGTCCTGTGCAAGGGCTGTCACCGGGATGGGCTGCTGGCTGCCACTGGTGCTGTGCCCCACAGGCAGCAGAGCGCCTGAGGAGCCTCCCCGAGGTGCACTACAAGCGGAGGGACAAGGAGGCGTGATGGGGAGCAGCGGAGCCAGCCCTTGGCTGTGCTGGGTGAGGCCAGGAAGAGGAGTCAGTGGGGAGTGATGCGAGCTGAGGCCTGGGAACTCGTGTCGCTTGTGAGCCCTGTGATCTCTCAGCTTCTCATGAGCCTTGTTGCAGCTTGGCGTGGCTTGGGGACTGGTTTTGCCTGTTCAGGTTCCCCAGTCCTGATCCTGCGGCATCCTTAGGCGGGCAGTGCTGTTTCTTCTGTCTCTTTCCCCAACCCAGGATGTGTCTTCTGCTTCCACAGCGTGCTCCTGCCACCCCTACAGGGCTTACCGTACTTACCAGTCCAGTCTTACTGGTGGGACTGGGAATGCTACCTGTCCCGTGCAGAGGCACAGCAACCCTGGCCAATAAAACCTGGAAGTAAAGTGCTTCTGCCTGTGCCCCTGTGGCTCTTGGCCCTGGGTGGGAGGTCTGGGGTCTCTGCTGAGCACCCCCGGCTGCTGGGGGGGGTATAACACTGGGGGGCTGCAGGGGATGTGCCAACAGCCTGATGCTGCCTGCTGCTGACCATGTCTCTGCATTGCCTCCTCTTCCTCCCTGGGGGGAGCTCTGGGCCTGTCTCTGAGCACTGCTGGCTTGGGGAGGGGTGGGAGTCAGGGAGGAACGGATGCTGCCCAGGGCTTAGCCACCTCCTGGAAGAGGGCTGAGGCCTGGCAAACTCGCTGCATGGAGACTGCTGGCTGGGACGCTCAGCTCTGGAGCTGCTTCTGTTCCTCCACTCTGCCTGGGGCTGCTGGTCTGCAACCCTTGTTCTCCCTTCTACAGATACTGGGGCTGCTGTGAAGGGCTGCTGGGGTGCAGCAAGGGGTTGGTTCATCACTAGCCCTGGGGGCTGCCAGAAGGTCCAGCTCTGCTCATGGTGCTGCTGCCCCTTTTCCCCTTCCCTGTGCCTACTCCTGGCATGGGGCAGCAGCAGCCCGGTCCCTGGGCTGAGCTGAGGGATGCTGCAACCAGCTCTGTGCTCTCCCCCGCTGCAGCCCCTTCCCCCAGGGAAGCCTTGGGGCTGTGCAGGGGTAGATCCTGGACTGTGATGCCCCACAACTGGTGTGGGACAATGCCCAGTGCCATCTGCCATCACGTCTCTTCACACTAATAGTTTTTATTTGTCACTGTAGAGCCATTCTCGTAATTCCTTAATGAGGCTCCTATCCTTGTCAAATCTGAGAGTGGGCTCCTGAGGGCTACAAATATCTTTCAAGGAGGGGAATGCTCACCTACCTACAAGATGACAATTTTTGGGAGGGCTGTGTGCCCCCCCTGCCCCATCTATGCATCGCTACACCATCCCTACCCATGGGGCTGAGGCAGGGAGAAGGGCCTGGCCAGTGTGAGGCTTGTACCTGGGCTGGATGCTGCTCTCCTGTGTGCTGGCCCCAGCTTCCTCCCTGATCATCTCATCCCAAAGCCTACAAGCCATCCCATGACCCAGCCTCAGGGCTCCCTGTGTACCCAAGGGTCTTAGGGAGGAGGCAGTGGGTTTTGGGGTGACCCTTGAGCTTGGAGCCATCATAGTATGTGGCGTCCCCCTGCATGGCATGGGAGATGGCCAGCTCAGAGTCTGGCCTCTTGCAAACTGATTTCTTCCCTCCTGGGACAAGCACTGTCCATCTGGGCTCTGTGACCATCCCCATTGCAGCCACTGTCCCTTCTCATTGCAACAAATACCTTTGCACCAATCTCTGAACTTCCCTGTTCTTCCTCAGGACCCTGGAAAAGTGGCAACAAATTGTCTTAAATGTGGGAATCCAGATTGGGGTGATTAGCCACTGAACCCGTTGTAACGAAGCTAGTCATCTCCCTGCACGGGCAGTTAGCTCTGATTTACTAGCCCACCAGCTCTCAGCCTGGGCTGCAGTGCCTCGGCCCGAGGCCATAAATGAAACTTGCAGTAAGTCAAGCGGTATTAAACTTTACAGTCGCCGTCTTTAAAAGCAAGAGACTCTCTCATAAATCAGAGCAAGTGGGATTGTAAATATTGAGGCAGGATCCATATTGCTTAATTAAACAGCGCCTAATGAACAGTCTGTTTGTTGTATTGTGATTTAGGATGGAGGATGGGGAGGTGGCGCGTGCTGAGGAACGCTGGTACCCACGCTGGGATGCTCTCCCTGGCAGGTGGTGGCTGCTGGAGTTTAGCTGCTTCTAAAATACTTCAGAGATGGCCTGAGAATTAATTTTTAATTTTTTAAAAATAAAAATTAAATTCCCCCCCCCCAAAAATACTTCTGAAACATTTAGGGTGGAAGTCAGCAGGAGGAGGAGGAGAAGGAGAGAGGGGGTGCAGCTAGATGTGAGAACTTGACCCCCCCACTTCCTCTTGATGGATCCACCTCCTGTTGCACTGATATTTTTAGCTTGTGTGAGGGGGTGTGAAAGGCGGGAAGTGAGCAAGGAGCCTTTCCTATGTCATGGAGAGGTGTTGGGCTGGTGCGGATGGGGCTGCTGGGGATGCAGAGGCATTGCAATCTATAGGAGCTATAGCTGCTGTGCTCTAAAACCCTGAAGCCTTTTATGTGTTGTTTAAAGTTACAGTCCAGTCGTAATAAAAAAGGGATTTATAGTGAGGAGATTAAAAACATCTATCTGGGTGTGGGACGGTGCAGTGGAGAGGCTGCGGGATACGCGACAGTTGCTCCTGCCATGGCGTCTCGAGGGGAAACTGAGGCCTGTTGGGATTCCCTGCAGGGATGTGCCTTGATGCTCCTTCAGTTCTGCAGGGGAGCTGTTGGAGATCATGCCAGGAAAAGTGTCCCTGCAATGGGGTTACCCTTGTCCTGAGCTCCTGTCCCCCAGCATCAGGGCAAGTACATCCTCCGCAATCCCTGCCCAGAGCTGCTCTGGAAGGATGAGCAGGGCAGGTGATTGGGGGAGTGAGGGGAGCTGAGATGAAGCTTAAGCATGGAATTAATGCATGAAAAATGCATCCCATGGAGGTGTTTGCTCCCTCTGTGGCATGTTAATAGGGCTGTGAGGGATCAGGAAAGGGCCGCGGTGCCTCTGCGTTGGGCTGTCATGTCTTGCGTTCTGTGAGGAGCAAGGGATACACCCAGCGGGGGATGTAGAGATGCAGAGATGCTTAAAGGGGGGTGGTGAGGAATTTTGTCTCATTTCCATCCTGTTTTCTGACGCCACTGAAACAAATGGGGGTCAGTCTACCAAGGGACGTGGCTTCCCCAGAGCTGCTGGGGCTTTGACTCGACTGAGACAAACCCATGTGCTCGCCTGGGCTGTAGCAGTGCCTGTCTCCATCATTGCCCTGGTCCTGTGTGTTTGGGAGACCCAGAGGATGCCCAGATCTGACATTGGCTCCTGTGGCCATGGGCAAGTCCTGGGATGCTACTCAGGGATGTTGCCCTCAGTGATGGAGGGTAACTGCTGGAGGCATGTTCGTCACCTTTGATTACGTGTCCATGTCCTAGGCAGCTGCCAAAGGCTGCAGAGCTTCAGACCTGTTGCAGATACTGAGTCCCCAATCCTGCCCACCCCTCTTCTTCTCCTCCTTGCCTTCCAGCGCAGGTGAGGCAATAAATATTGAACAAAGGAAGTTAATCTGTGACCAGAGTGTTTTAATCAGAAAAAAAAATAAAAAGTATTAGTGTAGGCCTGCTGGCTCCTGCCAAACTGCAGTTTTACTGTCCCTCCCGGTACTGAGTTTATGGCTGTCATTTCATTCCAGTTTTACTGTTGTTTTTGCCCTTACCATTGAGTTTCTCCTTGCCTTCTGCTGCCTGTGACTGAATGGGGCTTTTAGGAACATAATAAGGAAGAAATCAGTAAATTTTTAGGGAGGAAGAAAGGAAGGGAGGAAGCAAGGGAAGGAGGCAGGGAGGAAGGAAGAAAGGAAGGAAGGAAGAAATGGAAAGAGGAAGAGAGAGAGACAGAAAGGAAGGAGGGGAGGGAGGGAAACAGGCAGGGAGAGAAGGCTAAATTGCTGCTGTTTCTATCTAAAAGACACCATCAGGCACTTAACATGAAAACAATTAAAAATTTTAAGCAGATGCTAAACACTCTGGTGCCCTGCAGCAGGCGGCTCCGTGCTGTGGGGAGATCTGCTATGCCAGGAGAACAAAAAAATCCCAAACTCCTTTTAAATCTTGGCTTGGATACGTGGGAACATGGGAACAACCTCTGGGGCAGCAAACAGTACCTAGCTTGTTCCAGGCTGACTGGAGCATCTTCCCTGGGCCCAGCAGCTACCCAAGCAAGGACTTTACAAAGGACTGAGACCATCCCAAAAAAATTTTGGAGGTGGCATGCCTCAGCTAGCTGGTGGTTCTTCCTCTGCTGATGGTCACTGAGACCTCCCTGCAAGGCATTTTCAGAGCCTTTGGGGACTATGTGTCGTGGGAGGTCTGCTGGTCCCATGTGGGCACAATGGGGTGTCTGGTTGCTGCCTGCCAGCAGCACAGAGCCAGCGGCTCTGTGTGGTGTTTAGGACAGCAGCCCAAGGGGTGGAATTTTAATTTGATAATCATCTGAGACATGCAGGTAATTAAATACCACTACACTGCAGGATCTGTGTGGTCACTAAGCAGTGGATTCACCCAGCTCCGCCCAAGTATTCTGCACAGCTGGTGTTGGGGCAGTACCTCGGCGCTCAGCTCTCAGGAATCGGAACCTGCCATTGCATGTGGTTTTGAGCCTCTCTCCCATCCTGTACCTCATCCCAGGGTCAAGAGCCTCTGTTCAGAGCAAGAGGAACCCCAGGTTGCTGGACTCACCCCAAACACAACTAGCTGGGGAGGGAGGGGAGCAGATGTAGATGAGAAGGCAGGGGGATGGTCTGACCTGGGGCAGGCAACATGCTAAACCTCAAAAAGCGGTTATCCACTGGTGGCGGAGATGTTGGGAGAAGACAAGAGCCCTCGCAATGCCCGGGATCAGTGTGAAATCAATCTGGCTCCTGGCATAGCTGAGATAGGGCAACCTGGCTGTGCCTGGCACTCCCCCACTGCCTGAGCCAGCTGT